TAAGAGGGACCAGGAGACTGGGCTCCAATGGCACTACTCAGTCCAGTCATGATGAAACAAATCTGATTCTCTTTGGACTTTTCTTACATTTTCATTCCCCACCCTGCTTTGCCACGATCCATGCTGGGTGGGGTTTCTGCCACCTGATTAAAACAGATGTTCTATCAGCCCTTTAGAAAATGGGAGAGAGCCCTTGGAGCCAGCCTAGGTTAACAATAACAACAACGACACCAAACAGGTCATGCCAGATTATCCTCATTCCCTTACGTAAAGTTAACTAGATCAGTAGATCAAAGGAATGCTGTAAGCTAGTGTAACTGGACCAGCAAGGTGGAGGTGCCAGTCTCCCGTGACATCCTCACAAATAAGGAATAAGATGTGATGATGGTGGCTAAAGGTGGGGGAGGCAATAAGAAAGTTAATATGGACGAAAAATTGATAAAACTGCTGAATTCAAAGAGCATTGATCGGTATCAGCCTCTAGGATCTGCTCTATTGAGGATACCCATTAGTTCTTTCAGTGCTTTCCATCTCGAAGGCCACCTGAGTCGAAACCTCTATCACCTTTCCCCTGGGCCAGTACAACGGCCTCCGGACTGAATGCACAGCCTCTGAGCGGAGTGGTCATTCAAAAGCATAAAACGGATTGCTTTACTTGCCTGCTGGAAACCCAGGCAAGTCCTCCCTGACTCCCATCTCCCTTTCAAAGAACCACTCCTCTCCCCCAGTAGATATTTTCTTACTCTATTTGTTCTATTGGTTCATTCAACAGATTGTACACTCCACAAGAGCAGGGATCATGTCTCTTTTATAGCCTTTTTTTAATCCTCTCCTGAGGATATGTTTATTGATTTTTAGAGACAGAGGAAGAGGGACAGAACAAAAGAGCAATGTCAGAGAGAAACATCAATTGGTTGCCTCCTGTAAGTGTCCCAACTGGGGATTGAACCTGCAGCCTAAGTATGTGTCCTGACTGGAGATCCAACCCACAAACTTCTGGTGCACAGGCAATGCCCCAAGCAACAGCCACACACCCAGGGTGCGATCATGTCTCTTTTATTACCTAGTGTTAATTCCAACACGTTACCTAGTGTCAACTCATATCTAGCACATAGTAGGTGCTCAACTATTTCAATGAATGAATACATGACATGGATAATTGACACGTGCACTGGCCTGCAGTGCCTACGGCGTTATGGATGGAAAATCAAGACAAATTCACATGGATTACCGAGTCCTGTGGAGGAAAAGGGAGGACCCGGCTACTCTCTCAAGGGGGGAGCACCCCGACCCTTGCCTAAACAGGCTTTTATTGGTTTTTTTGCACAGGAGTTCAGGTACAACTTATTAATCATTGTCAGGCAGTAGACAGTAGATAGCATACAAAGAACTATTAGAGCTTCTTCTAAGTCAGGGTCTATCAGCTAAAAGGCTACAAAACTTTGGGAAAATAAACTCATTTTCTGCCTGGGCCTTTATGATTTAACTAAGAGCATTCTTAGCAAAGCAGGCATCACAGGATTTTACATATCCTTTGTCAGGCCTGATCACCCGGGGAGCCTGCCATTCCCAGCACAAGGCTGCACCACCCTCTGTCATTGTTTTCAGGCTTAAGTCAGGCAGAGGAGGCAGATAGCCAAGGAATTCTCCAAGACTTATCGCAGACAGACTGAGGACTCAGGCTTCATCAAAATGGGGGGAGGGGTGAGAGTCCATCACCGCTCTTTGCTGCAGCCCCCCGAGTCCTTCCTTGAGGGCCTCCCAAGTGATGGTGTCTGTCAGGTTGTCCCTCCTCCGAGGGGCCTTACAAGTCATTGACTAACTGAGCAAGCGTTGGGGGCCAGAGATGGATGAAGCAGAAGCAGCGCTGCTGCCAGGAAGATAAGCTTTGTCTCCTTAGTGGCTCAGTCACTCACTCAGCCTTATCTACGGGGGGTTTATAGCTCCTGAAACCAGGCAGGGCGGTTCCCAACAGATAAACACTGGCAGAATAATCATCAAATTGTCAACAACACTATTACCAGTGGAGTTAGACTAATATGATCATACGCAACTTTTGAAAGTCACTAAAAATTTTGAAGTCAGGTGAGAGATAGCAACTCTCCTTCAATTTTACATAAATAGAATTATATAGCATGTACTACTCTTCTTTCTCTAGCTTCTTCCAGGAAAATTCTTTTAAGATGCATCCATATTGTAGGATGTATCAATAGTTCATTACTTTTTATTGCTGAGCAGTATTCTATTAGATGTATATACCATAGTTTGTTTATCCGTATAGTGGTTGTTTCTCGTTTCTCTTTTCTAATAAAGCTGGACAGAGGAATGAGATGCCTGTGTCACATGATACCTATATATTTAACTTTTAAAAGAAATGTAAAACTTTTTTAAGTGGTGGTACTAGTTTACATTCCCACCAACAGTGTATAAGAGTTCCAGTTCATGCACAATCTCATTAACACTGTGTGCAGTCAGTCATTTTAATTTTAGCCATACCTGAGAGGTACAAAGCAATATGTCATTGTGGTTTTAGTGTGCATTTCCCCAGTGATTAATGATCTTGGACCTATTTTCAAGTACTTTTTTGCTACCCATATGTCTTCACTGGACATCAAGGGGTTGTTTGTTTATTTGTTTGCTGAAATTACAAGAGAAGCTCTTGTTCATTACATAACTAGATAAACAATACAGAAATGTAAAAGATTCAATAGTCCCCCACAACGAATCCCCACCCCAGCAACACTCATAACCAGAGGTGTATAAGAATCACCAGGAGCACGTTTTAGGCACACACATTTTTGTCCCCAGATACTTTTCCTAGCCATATTTCCCTGGCTGTAATTGCAAGGCCTAAAATGGTAGAGAAAAGAGACAACACTAAAATTTGTAAGAGCGGTTCTTTTTATAGATAAGGAAGCCCGCGTAGGCCCTGTCTCCATGATTTTGGATTCATAGATTTGTTTTCGTTCTTAAGCTTGTCAATAAACAAGCAATAGGCTTTGGAAAATCAAGGTCAACAAATGCCACTTTGCTTCAATGTCAGCACCCAAAGACACCCCTCCCCCCATTTGTTAAATAAAAAGCCATTCATTTGATCTAGAGCAGAATCACCCAAGGCACTGTTTAGCACAGTGAGCAGCTGATTCAAGAGAGACATGAGCCAACTGTCAGCAGCCCTGCGCCCTGGCGGAAACTCAGCGGACCTGCCCCCCCCCCCCCCCCCCCCGCAAGCCTGGGCGTCACCCAGGTTCCCAAGTGTGTCCTTGTCTTCCCTCTCATTGAAAAACAAGCCCCATTCAGAGAGGGAAGTGAGGCCTAATAAACAGTTTTTGTTACAGTGTCTGGCAATTTTGTTTTATTTTTTTCCTCTCTCTTTTTTAAAAATGTCTGGTAGTTTCTATTTTCAGCATTTGACCTTGGGTCAAATATTGAGTGTAGTGCATTATTCTAAGTAAGTACACTCTAACTTAGATTACTACCACAAGGTATGTGCTGCCATTTGTAAGTCATAACAGGGTTGACTTTATACTAGCAGATTTACAATTTTTCAAGTTCTGTTTTATTTCATTTTGGGAACAGCCCAACTCCCTTTCCGAGTGGCACAGCTGTGAGGCACTGGGTTCCGTCACTGGGTTGTGGGCACCACTCACACAGAACACATGTGCTAGGCTCCAACTCAGTGTTCATTCTGAAGTCTGACAAGAGCCTGACGTACGAAGCAGAGAAAGAAAACGAGGCCTTCGAGAGGATGAACAACCTGTGCTAGAGCACCAGGACTCTGTCGGGACTCACAGCAGACATTCTTTAACCAGATGCTTTCCTTTTTAAAAAAAAAAAATATTGTACTTATTTATTTCTAGAGAGAGGGGAAGGGAAGGAGAAAGAGTGGGAGAGAAGCATCAATGTGTGGTTGCTTCTCATGTTGTCCCCCACTGGGAACTGGCCTGAAACCCAGGCATGTGCCCTGACTGGAATCAAACCTGTGACCCTTTGCTTCACAGACTCTTGCTCAATCCACTGAGCTACACCAGCCAGGGCCTTTTTTCCCTTTTTTTAAAAAAGATTTTTAGAGAAAGGGGAAGGGAGGGAAGAGAAACATCAATGTGTAGTAGCCTCTCTTGCGCCCCTGAGGACCTGGCCCAAAACCCAGGCATGTTCCCTGACTGGGAATCAAACTACCGACCCTCTATAATGTTCACAGGCAGGTGCTCAGTCCACTGAGCCACACCAGCCAGGGCCCAGGGGCTTCCCCTGAAAAGAGAAAATAAACTGGGCTGAAATGGTGCAGTCCAAGTAACAACCTCAGTCACTCCTGACGACGGCAGACATGCTTCATGTTAAGTCTGAAACCGTGTGCAAGGTTATGTGTGAACCCCTCTGTTGGGAAGGCACCCAGATTTCTAAGGGGCCAGTGATCCCAAGAAGGTTAAGAACCTGGGCAGGCTGTCCTCTAAGGTCCAGGGTCTCATCCGGCAGGGGGCACTGTAGCCGGGGCCCAATCAGCCGTCTGGCTTCCAGCCCCAGCTTTGGCACTATTTTTCTGAGGCCCCCTTGGCCACGGCTGCTCCCCTGATGGACGTCAGAGTTCCGTTCTCTTTTCCCCTGGCCTTGACTGCCTATTTACAATTATACTTTTCTTGGCAGGGATTCTTTAGCATTGTTTGAATCATTCCATTGTTTTAATGTATGGATTCTTTTTCAAAGTAGTCTCAGATTTTACACGGAAACAGGCAGGGATGAACAGACACAAGGAATGATTAGTTTTTACTAGACCAGCTTACCCCTCTTGGGCCTCAGTTCGACACCTGTAAAACGGCTCTGTTGGGTCGCATGGAGCTGGTTGCTTGCATTATCTAAGGCTCAAGACACAAAGCTAGCTACACAGCAACCTGGGACAGAGGGTTGTGGCTCCCGCGCTCCCCTACCGCCCTTCTCAGATCTGACCGCAGCTGTTCCCCCACCCCCCACCCACGCGGCCTTGTCCTGCCAGGCAGACTCACCGCGCGGGCAAGGTGCCCGGGCTCATGCACGGAGCTCCGCCGCCCGGTGACTGTGCAGCCGGGGCGGGAGGGGCTCCGGGCTGCCCAGACCTACCCCACACCGGAGGTCTGAGCGGTGGTCCCCACCGAGGGCGCGGGCTGGAACGGCTTTGCCCACGCTGCGTGCGTGCACTGGGAATGGGCGGCCCGGTCCCCCGCCTTTGTTAATTGTCTTTCTGGAGCCAGGCTGTTTTCCACTTGCTGCTTCCGGGAGCTGACCCAGCTGGGATGGCCGGGCTGCAGCAGCAACAACCCCAAGGCAGTGAGAAGCCTTGCCCAGTGGGTGTTAGCGTGTGCCCCGGGACACACCCTCTTTTGGCTTCTCAGTACACAGCCTTCTCCTTGGGTTCGACTACCTGAAAATAGGGGGCGGAGCCAGCCGGGACACACCCTCTTTTGGCTTCTCAGTACACAGCCTTCTCCTTGGGTTCGACTACCTGAAAATAGGGGGCGGAGCCAGCCGGGACACACCCTCTTTTGGCTTCTCAGTACACAGCCTTCTCCTTGGGTTCGACTACCTGAAAATAGGGGGCGGAGCCCTGGCTGGCGTAGCTCAGTGGATTGAGCACGGGCCTGCGAACCACATGATCACGGTTGATTCCCAGTCAGGGCACATGCCTGGGTTGCAGGCCTGGTTCCCTGCAGGCCAGTTCCCAGCAGGGGACGCACAAAAAGGCAACCATACATTGATATTTCTCTTCTTCTTCCTCTCTCCTTCCCTTCCCCTCTAAAGATAAATAAATAAAATCTTTAAAAAGAAAAAAAAAATAGGGGGCGGAACTTAGGCTGCCCGGTGGGAAAGTTGAAGCCTGAATCACCGGATATCAGTGCTCCCGACCGAATCACCAAACTTTAGGACTGGACTTTGACTTGACTACGCGTGTCACCTGCTCAGGACCTCTGGGTTCTTGTCCCAGCTCTCCTGGGAGCCCTCGGCACAGTCTTAGACAAAGCCGCCATTGCCCGGCACCCCAGTTTCCTTTTCTACGATATGAAGGTGTTTGTCCATTCTCTTAACTACTGTGAACGGGGCACTGATTTAGGCACTAAGTACTCAGCAGTCAACAGGACAGAAAAGGTCCTCGCCCTCTTCGGGGTGATTCAGACGCTGAACACACAATTGAAAGTGATAATTGCTATGAAAAGTGTGGGAAGTTTCAGGTTAGAGCAACCAGACTTTCTTTGTGGAGTCGTGAATCGACTAGGTTAACATTTCTAAATTCTTCAGGTTCTAACATTTATTCTTATTCTCATTATTAGAACTTATTATTTATTATTATTAGTGATAGCAGTAGTAATATTGCCAGGTACTCTACTAAACATTTTACTTGTCTCCTCACTTATCTCCTTCACAGCTTCTCTACGAGATAGGTAGGCTGCTGCTGCTGCTGCTGATTATTTATATTATACATTTTAGAATGATAATCAGTCTGGAGAAATGAAAGTAGCTTGTGCACTAGCACACAGCTAAGTGACAGTCCCGGTATTCAAATTCAGACTGTCTGAAGCCTCAGAGTGCTTAACCTGTGCCCTACGACATAAAAATATGAAGGCCAGAATGCTGCCGTTATCTTGAACGTGATGGATGAGAATAGTGGAGAGGAGGGGGTGGTTTCGGCCTGTAGAGGAGAAAAGCAAAGGAAGTTGAAAGTTTTCTGAAAGAGCTGTCTGTGGGTTAGACTTGACCTTTGAGGTTACCAGCGAGAGAAAAGCTATGCAGAGACACATTGCAAATATGTAAGAAAGAATGTCTCTAACAGTCAAAGTGTTTCCAAAATGGTATCAGTCACCTGGAGACAGTGAGCATCCTGTCACCAAACATCAGAGGTTTACTGGGGATGCTTTAAAGAAAAGTCATGTAAAAGTTAGAGGCTAGTTTAGATCCTCTCTAAGTTTCCTTCCTGTTCTGAAGGAAGTCTGAAGGAAAATCGAGTCCTCCGGTAGTTAAATGACTTGTCCAAAGTCACCAAAGAGGTGAAGACTTGACCCCAAAACCAAGTCTGACTTCTAGATCAAACTTCCCGTTTGTGGCTGAGGGTCTTGTGAGTGCTCAGCTCATCGGTTTAAGCTCCTATAAAGTAAGCGTTGCATGCGTGTGACCAGTTTTTCCTGGTTGTGTGGAAACATCTGCTTTACCTGCTTTAACATTGGTGACATTATTCACGTGTGCCCTTCTTCCTTGACTGTGTTGTGTATTCTGTGTTTTCATATACAAGTGTCCACCCTCCTGGGCAATCGCTTTATTATAGGGGCTTGCTTCACAGCTAGCAGAGTCCCCACTCCGCTGGAGAAAAATTTACTTGGTAATTTAAGAAAAAGGAGATAAACTGGATGGTGTTTTCATGTGAAATGGATGTTTCTTTGATTCTACTTTAGGACTGTGCATTATCTGTAGTTACATTCCTAATGCATTAGCACTAATTCCCCATCTCTCATCCTCATCACAAATATATTTTTTTAAATTTTTAAAGTTTTATTTATCTTTAGAGGGGAAGGAGAGAGGGAGAGAAACATCAATGTATGGTTGCCTCTAGTGTGTCCCCTGCTGGGGACTGGCCTGCAACCCAGGCATGTGCCCTGACTGGGAATCAAACTGCGATCCTCTGGTTCGCAGGCCCGGGCTCAATCCATTGAGCTACACCAGCCAGGGCTCATCACAAATATTCTGATGAACAGCAATCTAGTTGTCAACTTCAGAAGAGGCATTCTTTTCTCAGTGCTCTAGAGAGCTATCTGTTTTTTTTTTTTACTGGAAACTCTAACAAAGGAATCCAGTTGCCTTTTGGGATTGATTTCTGGAACATTTACCAAAAAATGGACATCACCTTGCCCCCAGTGACACCAACTCAAAGATAAAAAGAGTTTCCCTTCACTTCTACCCTCAACAGAGTGATCAACTTTTAAATTTACTTTTTGAAAAGAAAATATATTTTCCTGGTTCAAATTCAAAAGTATACCGTCAGGGCTACAGCTTATTGACCTTGGAGTCCTCTCAGGGCCTGGCATATTGCCCTGTATAAGGTAGGTGCTGACTATGTGTTTATTGAGTACGAATTCAGAAGTTGTGGGAGATGGAGAAGGAAGCAGTTTAGGGTGGGCCAGCAGACATGAGGTTTAAAAGAAGCCTAGACAGAACTCCCAGACCAGGTGTAAATTTGACCATGACTTTATCCAGCAGCATCAGACTCTCTTGGATTGAACATGTCCTAAAGACTATGTAGTTAGTCAGAGTCTTCTGGTTGCAATCAACAAAAACTGAGTCTGGTTAACTGAAATTGAAAAAAGGAATTTTTATTTTATTTTTAAAGCATATTTCATTGATTATGCTATTACAGTTGTCCCATTTTTCTCTCCCCTTTATCCCCCTCCACCCTGTACCCTCCTGCCTCCGGCATTGCCCCTCTAAGTTCATATCCATGGGACCTACTTACAAGTTCTTTGGCTTCTCCATTTCCTATACTATTCTTAACCTCTCCCTGTCTATTTTGTACCTAGCAATTATGTTCTTATTCCCTGTACCTTTTTCTCCATTCTCAACACCCCCACCCCCACTGATATCCCTCTATATGACCTCTGTTTCTTTCTTTTTCTTTTTTATTTTTATATCATAGGAAAGGCGAGTGGCAGCTGCAGGTGTTATGTTGAGCTGAGCTCTCAAAGTCTCCCCAGGTTGCTTTCACATACAGTTGAAGATCCCATGGCTACAAATGATCTCCATTTCTGTGATTCTGTTCCTGTTCTATTTGTTTGCTTAGTTTGTTTTTGTTTTCCAGGTTCAGTTGTTAATAGTTGTGAGTTTGTTGTCATTTTACTGTTCATAGTTTTGATCTTCTTTTTCTTAGATAAGTCCCTTTAACATTTCATATAAATAAGGGCTTGGTGATGATGACCTCCTTTAATTTGACCTTAGCTGGGAAGCACTTTATCTTCCTTTCCATTCTAAATGAAAGCTTTGCTTGATAGAGCAATCTTGGATATAGGTCCTTGCTTTTCATGACTTTGAATAATTCTTTCCAGCCCCTTCTTGCCTGTAAAGTTTCTTTTGAGAAATCAGCTGATAGTCTTATGGGAACTCCTTTGTAGGCAACTCTCTCCTTTTCTTTTGCTGTTTTTAAGATTCTCTCCTCACCTTTAATCTTGGGCAATGTAATGATGATGTGTCTTAGTGTGTTTCTCCTTGGGTCCAACTTCTTTGGGACTCTCTGAGCTTCCTAGACTTTGTATGTCTATTTCCTTCACCAGATTGGGGAAGTTTTCCTTCATTATTTTTTTCAAATAAGTTTTCAATTTCTTGCTCTTTCTCTTCTATTTCTGGCACCCCTATGATTCAGATATTGAAATGTTTAAAGTTGTCCCAGAGGTTCCTAAGCCTCTCCTCATTTTCCTGAATTCTTGTTTCTTCATTATCTTCAAGTTCAATGTTTATTTCTTCCTTTTGATCCAAATTGTTGATTTGAGCCCCAGTTTTAGAAAAAGGAATTTTTTATGAGATTTTCTTTATTTTTCAAGAGAGGGGAACAGAAGGAGAAATAGAGGGAGAGAAATATCAATGTACATCAATTGGTCACCTCTTGCATGTGCCCCAACCAGGGACTGGGCCTGAAACCCAGACATGTGCCCTGACCAGGAATCAAACCAGTGACCTTTCGTCCTAGGGGATGACACCCAACCAAGCCACACAGGTCAAGGCCAAAAAAATTTTTTTTGAAAGAGTAGTAGGAGCTCAAAGAATCAGTGAAAAAGCTGGAGAGCCAGGCTAGGAATACAGGCAGGCACCAAGGGGGGCTGGTGGCCAGACCCCTGGAGGAGACCATGCCATACCACAGGAAGTATGCTGCTGCTGCTGGACACTGGCAATGGCCTGGGGACTGGGTGCCATATCTAACTCAGATGCCATTGCTGCTACCAGATACTAAATGTCACCACTACCAGAATAAATTTCACACATTTCCTGCTTTTCTTGACTCCTCTCTCCAGCACCGTGACCCATCATGCTTGGGCCCCGAGCAGTCAGCAATCAGGAAGAACGACCACCAGGGCCTTTTGGCTTCACTGACTGAGATGCAGGGCTCTGCCTCACACAATTGCCTACTCCTCAAACTTATAAAGGCAATGTGGAGGCTGAGTAAGAAGAAATAATTACAGATGTTCACTATACAGTCCTCTTCTAATAATTTGTAGGCCAAACCAGAAAAAAAAAGAGTATAATCTGTAGAAAGTGCTTAATACAGCATCTGAGCTGAACTCTCAAAACTGGAAGAGGTGCATGTCATACTTATTACTCAATCTTTTAAATTTTTAGCTAATCAAGAACTTCTTTAAAACAGTGGGCTAGGAGGAGGGCAACAGAGGAGGGCAAAGGAGGAACAACTGGGACAACTGCAATATAATAACAATAAAACATTTTTAAAAGAAGGACTTCTTTACAATAGCAGTATTTTCTTCCCAAGCCTCTCTTTCTTTCCTGTAGGAATCACTTACAATTGCAGAGTTGAGCAAAGAAAGTGGAGAAGAAAGAGGTAAACTGCCAAAAGCTTACTGAGCAGCACAAGAGGGGGCAGTGCCATGAGCCTAATGAGTCTAATTTGTTTTTCTGATCACTAAAAACAAAAAAAACGCCCACCTACTTTAGAGTCTCAGCCTTGGGATCATATGTATATTTTCCATTCAGTTTTGTGAAATCTATCACTCTAATTTCTACAGTAGTAGTAGAAATAGATATTAGTTACTGCATTTCTACTATGTGTCAGAAAACATCCATCAATCATTTCTGACAGTGACCCTGTATAATAGTCATTATCTGCACTTTACAGATTAGGACACTGAAGCTCAGAGGGACTGAGTAACCTGTCCCAGAGGACTCAGCTCATAGCTGACGAGGTATAGCCAAGTCTGCTACTACATACACTCTCTCTCATGTGGTTGCTTTCACCAAAGATTCCCACCAGCATTTTTAAAAAATTCTACAAAATCCAAAGGGAAGTTTTGTGAACTGTTTCTTCTATTTTTTGAAACATTAAATTGTCAGTCAAGAAACTATTGGTGGCCATGTGCTTACCAGAATAAAACTTTTATTAGATAACAGGCTAGAGTAGTAACCTCATTACTAACATATAAACATTCTTATAACAAGAGTGTTCACTCTATTGAGCCCATATCATAAACCAGGTATTCTACTAGTGGTCCCTAACAGGTAAGTATTACCATCTCCTTTTTACAAAGGAGAAACCTGAAATTTAGAGACTCAGAAACTTGCCAGGGGCCTTGCTGATAGGAAGTCGGAGAAGCAGGACTGCAGGGACTCCATCACGTCGTACCCACTCTGTTTCCTAATCTGTAGTGAGAAGCACCGTTTAGCATCTCTGAAACAGTCATGTTCTCAATCTGTAGAAATACATGAAATATGATCCTGAGGTTTAAAGTTTAGGAGATTCCCTGTAAGTACTTTGCCAGACTTCCATTACTAAGTAAATGCCTCTGTTCTACCATTTGGTTTTAAGGTTATCATGAAGACATGAATGTCAGTTTGACCTGTGAGCTGGACCTAGGCTATCGGAGGCTCCCCACTCCAGCCCTGTGCAGTCCACTTGCCTTTCCTGATCTGGAAACTGCCCGAGGACACAGCCTTGAGATAGTAATGTGGCAGTGAGACTACCTAGGCCTGGTACGTGACTGGACTGTTAAGACCTCCTATGTACATGGGTGACCCCAGTTAGGGTCTCTGTGTAAACTTTTAAGATTTGGTGGGGGTGGGGGGGCTAGTTTCAGATTATACCTGGGAAGCTCTGGAAGAAGTTGCTACCACCAACAACCTGCTACCACCATGATGTTTAGCCCTGTTTTGGGGAACTTCTTGGCTTTTACCATATTCTTTGTTAGTACTCCTTTGGTCCCAGTGCCAGAAATTCAACTCATCTGGAAATGATAATGTTCTTTAGAAAACTGAAGACCAAAGAATAAAAGACCATAATTGGGGGGAAGGGTTTTCAGGAACTATTATAAAGGACACATGGACAAAACCAAGGGTGGGGGGGATGAACGCAAGGGAGGGAGGGAGGTTTGGCTGGGTTGAGGGGACTGGTGGGAGGAAAATGCAGACAACTGTAGTTGAACAACAATAAAATAATTTTTTAAAAAGGACCATCTCTGCCTGTATGTTTCTGCAAGAGAGCAAGCCTCCCCCAAAGCGCTCCAATAGGCTCTTCCTCCTAGCCCACTGACCGGAATACCTCATGGTCCCCAAACCACCCACTGACTGGCTTGGATGGAGGAAGACCCAAATTGGGCCAGCCTCCCTCTGAAGTACATAATCATGCAGACTTGACAAAATTGAGAGTCTTGTTGAGAAAGAGGAACAGCAAAGGAGGAGTGCTCTTAAGTAGGCCACCACGAGTATTTGCTGCAGGAGAGAATGGACAATTCTACAGTTAAGTTGAGGAGCCCCTCAAATATTATTCTAAGTTCCCTGACTCCAGCCCTTTCCTGGGCATTTAACATTTGATTGTTCAGATTCAGCTAGGCAGTTCTGGCTGGGCAGGACACTAGGTCACAGAGCAGGCTGAAGTAGGAACAGCAATCGAGCACGTCCACAAGATGGCAGTAGTGTATAATTATTGAAAACCACCACGAGGCCCAAGTTCTTGAACATACCTCAGTGACAAATTCTGTGTTCTGCTACTGAGTGGATGCCAACTTTTATAGCTTCACTCAGTCATGAAATAGATGAGCAGCTTTCTTCCCAGGGTGTCTCACCATTCTGAGATGCATGGACTGGAGAAATGAAAAAGCAGTTTCTTTGGGAGTCAGAAAAACCTGAGTTCCAGTCTATGGTACCCGCCCCCCCCACCCCCCTCCCACTCATTAAGTGCATTTGGGCAAGTTAACTAAGACCTCTGGGCCTCAGTTTCCCTATATAAAAGCTTAAAACAATGAAATTACTTTTCCCATAAAATCTTTTTACATAACATAAGATAATGTAGGCAAGTACAATACAGTACAGCCCTAGCTGGTGTGGCTCAGTTGGTTAGAGCATCATCCTACACACCAAAAGACTGGGGGTTTGATTCCCACTCAGGGTGCACACCTAGGTTGTGGGTTCAATCCCCGGCCAGGGTGCATATGGGAGGCAACCAACTGATGTTTCTCTCTCTCTCAAATCAATAAATGCACTTTTAAAAATTAAAAATATAAAGTGCTGTATAAATATTAAAAGCAATTATTACCTTAGCATGGAAAAATCAATCAGGGTAGATGCCATCTGAAAACTCAGTATCTTCAGGTTGACTACAAGAAAGGTTCTGAGGCCTTGAGAACCACCTAGAATATTTGTTTTGTTGCCTGACACGTCTTAAAGGCCTGTGAGCCCTGGCCAGGTAGTTCAGTTGGTCAGCGCATTGTCCTGATATGCTGAGGCTGTGGGTTCAATCCCTGGTCAGGCACATACAAGAATCAACCAATGAATGCATAAATCAGTGGAACAACAAGTCACTATTTCTCTTTCTCTCCCTTCCCCTGTCTCTCTAAGAAAAATTAATGAATAAAAGAAAATGTAAAAACCTATGGTGGTAACCTAGTCAAAAGGAATAATGTACATAATTCAGTCAGTGGTGGTAGTATCACAGTTGCGCTTTTTTGTTGTTGTTGTTACATTTGTCTTATTTAGGCCTTGGGCAATAATTGTTAAGTTCCTCTTTCAGCTGACAGCCTATCTCCCTCCACCAGGAAGGTTAGA